GATGATGGGAATTGTAGTCCAAAAACAGCTGGAGACCCAAGTTTGGGAAACACTGCTCTAGAGGGACATGCACGCCCCCCACCCCCACCCCCGCTGCACACACTCACACTGAGGTAAAGTTGACTGAATACAGTAGAATTTGTTTCTGAGTAAAAATGCACAGAACTGCACTGTTGGACAACTTTCAAAGCTTATCAGAATATATCGGCTTAATTATTTCCCCTCCAACTCTGAGTGACATATTCATTGCAGAGCATGGACAAGCCTAACTGCCACATTTTGGGGGGGGTGTTGTATTAAAAATAAACAGCTCAAGTGTGCCTGTGTGTGTCTGCTGTAGGATTTAGCTATGGCATCTTTAGAGAGCATGGCATGAAGATGCTTATTGATGAAATTACATTCAGGTGCACGAGTTTGATGTAGTTCTTCATTTAACTCAGGCATCCTCAACCTGCAGCCCTCCAGATGTTTTGGCCCACAACTCCCATGATCCCTAGCTAATAGGACCAGTGGTCAGGGATGATGGGAATTGTAGTCTGAAACATCTGGAGGGCCGAAGGCTGGGGATGCCTGATTTAACTAGTATATTGGCTTAAGCCTCCCTGGAACTAGATTTGCTTGCAAAAATCAATCTCTGCAAATTCTCTTCTGATCTGCACCTCCTGGGCTAATGTGCAGATTAGAAGTTAGTTATCCAATGGTTTTTGCGTCACACAAATGTTCCCATACAACTAAAAAAAACTTAGTGAAACACATTTAGAAGTGTGAAGTGTCTTCTATAAGACATGTTTAAATGCACCTTTTTCATGTGGAAATTCTTTTGATAGCCACAAATGACTATGGCTGTGGTCCTGAATGGACTTAGGGGTGTATACCTGCAATAGTGGCAGGGAGCAGAAATAGACTGATTTGCTCATCTCTACCCCAAAGTCTTTCGGTTTAGATGAGGGTGGGGAGCAAAAGCTTGGAGTATGAAGACAAATGGGAGAGGGAAGTTGAAGACAGCACAGACTGTCCATGAGGGGAGTGGGAAGAAATTTGATGAGTTTCCAGTTGAAGTGGGTGGAGGAGAGAATGGGTTCAGGAGATTCCCTAGGTCTTTTTTTTAAAAAAAAAATATTTTAATTAAGATTTCCTTGGCTGAAAAAAAGTACATGCCTTTTCTCTTTTTTCAGGTTGTACAGTCTTTCTTACAAATCAGTTGCATCTGTTGTGAGACATTAGCATTGAGTACAGTTTAAGGTTGGGGAAGAAGAATGGGGAGAGGAAGGGTGGGGTGATGAGGCTTATGTTCTTTTGTATAGCGTATGTGTGGGGTTTAGGTCAGTGTCTGCTGGGTAGGTTATCTTTCTATTTCTTTATTACATTTCCTTGGTAGTGAGAGGTATTGGGGGGCAGGATGTGGTTGGTTGGTTGGTTGGTTGGTTGTGTGTGGTTGTCTGCAGTGGGGTTTGTTTGTATTTGTGAGGGGGAAGAGAGCTTGCTGGGTCAGGTAAGCCAGACTGATTCGTATGTTGTTGGTGGATTTTTGTTGTTGTCTTGTTGGGCTGTGTATGTAATAAAGGGGAGCCATGCCGGGGTAAAGGCGTCCTCTAATAATAATAATAATAATAATAATAATAATTATTATTATTATTTATTTATACCCCGCCACTCTGAGCGGCTCCCAATCGAGTGTTAAAAACAATACAGCATTAAATATTAAAAACTTCCCTAAACAGGGCTGCCTTCAGATGTCTTTTAAAAATAAGATAGCTGCTTATTTCCTTGACATCTGGTGGGAGGGCGTTCCACAGGGCAGGCGCCACTACCGAGAAGGCCCTCTGCCTGGTTCCCTGTAACTTGGCTTCTCGCAGTGAGGGAACCGCCAGAAGGGCCCTCGGCACTGGGTCAGTGTCTGGGCAAGAACGATGGGGGTGGAGACGCTCCTTCAGGTATACTGGCCAAGGCCGTTTAGGGCTTTAAAGGTCAGCACCAACACTTTGAATTGTGCTCGGAAACATACTGGGAGCCAATGTCCCCGTGTCAGTTTCAGTTTATTGGTTAGCTTTTCTAGTAAGGCTGTTTCCCAAACAATTAGATACCATTGGTCCATGTTAACTCCTGACAAATCTCTCCAGAGTCTAGCTATGAGGCTTCTGGCTGCTGAGAGTAGGTGGGTTATAAGTTCTGTATAATGTGAGTGGTCATTATGATCTGGGAAGATGTTCAGTAGGGCTAGTTCTGGGGTGAGTTCCAATACCTGTTTAGTTCTTTTGCATATCCCTTGTAGGACTGCTGTCCAGAAGGGTTGAATTTTAGGGCATTCCTTCCACATGTGGAGGTATGTCCCTGTGGAGGTGCAACCTCTCCAACATTTTGGTGAGAGATTCCCTAGTTCTGATCGCATTCATCCCAGACTTCAGGTTTTTTTTTGTGAATTTGTTACCATCATTCCTCAGATAAGCACTGCTGTCTGGGCAGTTGCTCGTGAAATCGTTAGTGAAACATTCTTATCTGGGCAACTGTTAGGGTTGTGACTGTTGGTATTTTAATTTATTGGCTATCCTTCACTTTAAGATCCCAAGGGAGGTCACAACAGTTCAAAACAGATTCAAACAGTTTAAAACAAATTGCAAGCACAAGAATAGGACGAGTCCTAAGAATATACATTTTGATGTTGAAGGTCAGGTTGAAGAGATGTGTCGTCACCATACAGGGAAAACTATAGGAGGGAATTGGCGCAACAATGCTAATTCCTGTTTCTGTACAGTGCTGTTATCACAAGAAGACCGTGATACTTTGAAGCAAGATTTCAGGTTTCTCTCCAGTAGCAGGAGTTCTAGACATTTTATAAATGGCTTTTTTGTGCACGGTTCTTTGAATCAAGTAACAAGCATGTTTCAATGCAATAATATTTCCTGCTCCCTTACTTTCAAATGACACACAGCAACTGCCACTTATGTGCAACTGGGTATTAAATTATACCGAGCCCACGAATTTGATAGCTGCAGGAACAAAAAATCAACTGAGAAATTGTATTTTGAATTCTTTTGTTGTCTACCCTCATGCAACAACAAAGCAGGCTCTTTAAAGTTTAAATAAAATCTCCCATGTTTAAGTTTTGCATGCCAAATGTCACCCTAGAGCAACATTTCCTTGCGTGTAGGTCATAAAACCCAGTAGAATGGAATAGCTGTGCTACGCTTGGTCCTGAACTGGAAATACTTTACCTGGCTGTTATTGCCCATCAGGTTGAGGGGGAGTTACTAGTAAGCAACATGGTGGCAGGCAGAGAAAGATATGTTTTTCTTCTGGGTATTGTTATTTTGTTCTATTGTTCTAATGGCCAAAGGGGTTGGTTACAGAGAGTATTTCCCCCTTGCTGTTAAAGCAGGGTAACTCTTAATTTATTCAGGCAAAATGACTATCAGTGGCACTTGTGCAGCTATAATTTATTTAGTCAAATAACTTTTTGTGAAAGGCTCTGTTTGCCATTCATCTGCTCTGATTTGTTTTGTTTTTTATCCTTTCCCAACCCCAGTTTTAAAACCTCTCAACTTACAATTAGCAAAGATGTATAAATCAACGTCAATTTTTTGTTGGAAATGTAAAGAAGTAGAAGGCGTCTTTTACCATATGTGGTGGACATGCAGAGTGGCTAAGGACTTTTGGGAGATGATTTACAATGAGATAAAAAAGAGATTTAAGGTAACTCTCCCAAAAAGACTTGAAGCCTTTTTACTGGGGATAATGAACAGATACCCCCCCCAACAAACCAGATAAATCTATTTCTTTACGGCCACATGAATATTATATGCACAAAAATAGCATGATGAGACTGTGCCTACCAAAGAAAATTGGCAGCTGAAATTGATAGAATGTGTATAATATGTATACAAGTTTGACTTGTAAAAATTAGTGATCAAAAAAAGATTGACATTAAATAACATTGGAAAATGTTTGCGGAATATTTAGAAACTCAGTGTAATTATTTTAAGACGCAAATAGGATTTGAGTAAGAACTGCAGAGGGAGGGGAAGTTTCTTTTTCTTTTGTGATAAGACAAAGGTATAGAATAACCATAATATGCAGCATAAATTGAAATTTTGGTGGAACCATTGAGGGAGGGAGGGGAAGTTGCAGATGGATTGATTGATTGTTAAATTTGAAATGTTGCCGATTTTTTATGTTTCAAAATTCACAAATAAAGTAGTTAAAAACTCTCTTAACTTACTAGTCTGTCAATTTCGCTTCCATGTATTTGAAGCAAATTACTGTCAGCTAATTAAGCTGGGTTTTCAATACAGTTGTACCTCGGAAGTCGAATGGAATCTGTTCTGGAAGTCCATTCGACTTCCAAAACATTCAAAAACTAAGGCATGGCTTCCGATTGGCTGCAGGAAGTTCCTGCAGCCAATTGGAAGCCGCGGAACCCACGTCGGACGTTCAGGTTCCAAAGAACGTTCGCAAACCGGAACATCCACTTCTGGGTTTGCAGCGTTTGGGAGCCAAAACGTTCAAGTTGCAAGGTGTTCGGCTTCCAAGGTACAACTGCATTTTCTGGTTTTCAACATCATGATACAGCACCAGCTAAACATCACAATATACTGATATCATAATGTCTGAAATAAGGATGGAGCTATGTAGAGGCATTGGCTGGCTACATGGTTTTCCTCACACTGTGATTTTCATATAGCACTCAAACACACCTCATGATTTGCGATATATTGCCAGGTCAAAAGCTATGAAACTGATACCACGAGGTGGACTTCAAACCAGTTTGGAATGGTATATCACCCAGCTCTAACACACACCATGCTGGCAAACACATGGATGCTGGTCTTGGTGCTTATTGGCCATTATGCAAACACATTTGTTCCTATTCTCATGGGCAGCATCAAGCCTTTAAACTAAAATTAAAGAACTATGGGTACTTTTTTAAAAACTTTCCTGCTGCATTAGGTGACTTTCTGACTTGTGTACATTGTTTTAATCACTGGTTTTCCTTCATTTTGCAGAAAAGAGAGTTTGATGTGGACAATCTCAGCAAATCAGAACTGCGGATGCTCTTGAGTGTTCTAGAAGGGGAACTGGAAGCACGAGATCTTGTGATTGAAGCTTTAAGGGTATGTTCCTGTTGTTAAATATATAGAAATTTTACATCCGTAAAGAAAAATAAAATTATTATTATTATTATTATTCTATACTGCTCTTCATCCAAGGATACATAATATAGTAACAAACAAACAAACAAACCCTACAGTTTAAAAGGCCATAGATGGTTTAATAAGCCAAAGGTCTGAGAAAAAAAGGAACGTTTTTTCCTGGTGCCTAAAGATGTAACAAAGACACCAAATTGTGTTTGTTTTGTTACTACAGTCGTACATTGGTTTCCAAACAGCTTAGTTCTCGGATGTTTTGGCTCCCAAACACTGCAAACCCAGAAGTGAATGTTCCCGTTTGCAAACTATTTTTGGAAGCCAAACGTCCAACGGGCCTTCCAGGGCTTCTGATTGGAGCTTCCTGCAGTCAATCAGAAGCCATGCTTTGGTTTTCAAACATTTTAGAAGTCGAATGGACTTACAGAACAGATTCCGTTTGACTTCCAAGGTACTATTGTACATGATATTTTTGCCATGTTCAAAGGAGATTCTCATAAAAAGCAGGAGGAATCTCTCTCTCTCTCTCTCTCTCTCTCTCTCTCTCTCTCTCACACACACACACACACACACACACACACACACAAAGGTATGCATTTTTAAGTAAAACAAATCAGTAGCATGCTAGTACCAACTTTTAAAAGTCATACATAGTGGAAAAAACAGTAATGTGAAGAAGTTCACCCAATACTAAGATAATCGTAGTAGATAACTGGAGTTGGATAACATGCTTATTCCTGCAACTTCACAACTGGGCTGATCTATATTTAAACTAGTTTTCTGTAACTGAAGGGAAATAAAGGTATTTATAAGCAGCTCTTGCTTCATAAACGTATGTGAGGAGTCACACAATGCAGCCACATGAACTTTCTTTCACAAAAGGATGTTCTCAAAGAGAATACCAGTGCTTAGATACCAGAAGAGATGCGTTTCTTTCTAATACATCACTTCCTAGGGGAATCTTGCGCTTTGTGGCTGTAAAATATTTAGCCTTAAGTCCCTATATGTTTTACATTGGTACGGGTTTGAAAGACTGAGAGATTTCAAATCCCATTAGAGTTCCCTCCCACACACTTCGTGTTAATTTAAGGAGAAAATAATGGAGGGGGAAACTACCCAATATGACACGTAGCCATTTGTTCTCTCTCTCTATACATTGCTGGGATTTGCCTGTCCTCCTTTACAGGCTATATAATGTTACACTTGCCATAAGCAGACTAGACAGATTTTGTAGTACTGAACGCCGTGGATAAAGAGCATCGAAGCATGAAAAATCCAGTGTCCCTAAGCTTTGATTCCAAGAAAGGAATTACTCCCCCAAAGTCCAGCCATATTAGCCTTTTGCAGCAAAAATAACAGAGTCTAGTGGCACTCGTAAAGACTTACAGATTTTTATTGCATTAACTTTTGTGCACTATAGTCTACATGCCAAATACAAAAACAAATCAACTAGGTCAGACTACTACTCAGTAATAATCTGCTACAGGACAAACCTAGAAGAATAAAATGACCGGACACCACTTGTCACTTAAAGTTTCCAGCGGAAGCTACTCAAACTTAGCACCTATGCTCTATAGTCCATTCTGAACAATGGCATTTCCATGATACAGGCCTTGAATAGTAGGCCTTGTACTTCCTTACTGACAGATCTCACACCTTAAATAGCTACTCACCAGTAACATATACTCACCAGCATATAACAAAGTTATGGACACAGGGACAGCTCCTGTGATAGATCTAGATGCCAGCTCTGTCCACATAACTACACTGGCAACAAGTATTAGAAGACCTAATAATGCCATTCGTGGTATCGGGTTCATTCATCTTCCAATGTGATATATGCCATCGTCTGCCAGCAATGCCCTTCTGCATTCTACATAGCACAAGCAGGCTAGTCTCTATGCAGAAGAATAAATAGACACCAATCTGACATCAGAAATGGCAATATTCAAAAGCCAGTGGGAGAACCATCCAGGACACACTGCAAATTACTTTAAAATGGCCCTCCTGGAGCTAAAGAACTCCAAAGAGAGACAGCAATGTCATTCTAAATTTGTTAGTCTTTTAAGACACCACGAGACTTGTAGTTGTTTTTACTCAAAATTAAGTGCACGAACCCAGCCAAAGCTACTGAGCCTGGCAGTTTGTATAAAATGAGTCGCGTTAAAATATTGATCCATCACAGTTTGTTATTCATGGCAGCAATTCTCTGATGGTAGCAGATGACAAGTAAAACGTTGCCTAAATGCGACCAGGTGAAATGGACCATGGGATGGGTGGTTTTTGTTTTTCCTTGGATCAATATTGTTCCACAAGTGACTAAGACAGGTATGTTTAGATCAGCTGGGCCAGTAAATATTTTTGCACACTGATGAACTTTGAGGATTTACTAGCATGGTTATGTCAAGCAAAGCTCGACCAGAAGCCAGTGTGTTATGGTATTGAGGGTAGATTGTCAAACCAAATCCCAAATTCAAACCGCCACTCAGCCCATGAATTTCGTTGGATCACCGTGGGCCAGACACCTGTATAGCTCAGCCTAATCTACCTCATGAGGTGTTTTGAGGATAAAATGAGTGGGAAAAGAGCCATGCATGCAGCCTTAAGTGTCTGTGAGGAAAGGTGAGATGAAAATAGAATTAGATAGTAAAAATAATATGCTAGATTTTCCCAGCCCTTCAATGCCTTTTTGCCCATTGTGTTGTGTATTGTTCTCTTTTCTCTCTCTCTCACATGGATCGTATCCACTGTGGATGTAATGGGGGCAGAGAGCAGCTTGTATAACTCCTAACAAATGCCTGTACATACCAGGAGCCCTCTCCTGTATTCTGTGAACTTTAGATCTAATGTTTAAAAAAAAACACATTCAAAAAGTACAAGCATCAAAGTTTGTAGGGACTGTTTGTGTGGAGTTTATTTTGGTGGGGAAAGATACACACACCAATAAGACATTTTCCAAATCACATTTGAAAACATGCGAAATGTGGTTTTTATTGGCAGCAGGAGTGCATAGTATACTTGTTACATATTTTATTATTGTGATTAATTCTTATATCCCACCTTTTATAGCAGTACGAACGAATGCATTGTTGTTTATTCAAACGTTTACAAACCATGTTGCAATTTAGATGTTATTAAATGTTCAACTGTATTATTAACCAGCTGTGATTAGTTCAGGACCTGTTTCTAACAATGCCAAGTCCTGGATTGGGTATTAACATTACAGAGTGGTCCATCAGTCCCGTACAGTCCTTCATCATTCCAAAGATTCAGAGATGTTTGGAGAACTTGTTGCCCTCACATTGAATTCATTAGCTTCCACCTTCTGTCTATGTGAAGATTTAAACATACGTCTTTCATACTGGTAGATGTTCACATGCAGTAACATTTTGAGAGCTTGATCAAGTTCATTGTGGTCTCAGCAGCTGTTCACAGAATAATCCCTGTACAGTAAAGACAGGCGGTCCAGATGTTGGACTGCAATTCCATCATGGCCAATCCAGAGGGATAATGGGGGTTGTAGTCCCAACAATATCTGGGGGCACAACCCTGCAGGAGTGTATTACAGAAGCCAAGCCCACCCTCCCATGGTACTGAGTATCAATAGGCTGGGAAGCCACCTAGATTTTTAGGAAGACCCCAAAATGATGTGTATATCCTGGACTCTGCTGTTCTCTATGGGATCCCTCCACAAAGAAGTGCTATTTGCTTATGGGACTAGATCAACCCCTTTGTTTTGATGTTTATCTAAGTCATTAGCTGCTCAAGTTTTTAATATCCATTTTAGCTCGGACTGTTTGTTTATTTCCAATTTCTCTTTTCCCTTTTTAAAACACTGCAGGTGGTAAACGAGTATTTGCCTACGAAAATAAATTTAGATTTCACCTCATGCTCTGCCATGCAGATAATTAGAAATAGAGGAGAGAGATTGCTCTGGATACTTTTTTAATATATGGAAGCACTTGAGCTTAGAATAATTCATTTCAAGTTCTAGGAAGTCACCTGATTTGATATTTATTGCAAAGTTAACACCAGGGGAGTGTTTAAAAGCAGACTTCGGTATCTATTGCCTTTTGGAAATGAGAATCTGATTTTTAGAAGGTAATACGTGGTGCTGAGGAGAAAAATAATAAAGCTGTTCATAAACAAGAAAGACAAAGAAGTTTAAATCTTCATGGCTCCAATTCAGCGTTAGTCACGCTCAATAGCTTGTGGTTCCAGATGGGGATGTGCTTTCATATTTGCATCAAAAAGTGTATCCAGACAATCTAGTGGAGCCCAAGTGAGGATTCAAATGCATTTGTAGATTTGTATGCACATTCACACACAGTTGGCCTTCCAGCTTGCCATCTGAATTATGGCATTGTGTGTATGTGTCAAGGATCTCCTGTTTTGGACCCTAGATTCCCCCCCCCCTTACACTAGATTCTCTAATAAAATTTACTGTCTTGAACTGGAACAGAGTGGAAACCATTCAAGATAACTGGATGTGAATGATAACGCTTTAAAAAAAAAATGCACGCAAGCTGTGAGTTAAGATACTGGGAAATAAAGACTTCTGAAGATCAGATCTGAAGTAGCTGAGCAGATATTAAAACCAAGCCTTTTGACTGTTTAGAGATCCGAATCAGAATTGCAGGTTCAGAGGCTATAAAAGTCGGCAGGAGGATCTCTTGCTGAGAATATAGCCTTAAAAAGACAAACAACTGTTAAAAATTAATCTGAACTGTTACAGTGCTGATTCAGCTTTGTACAGAAGGATAAAGATGGTCTTTAACAAATGCAGTGTGTTCCATATTTGGTTATGTTTCTCTGATGTGACATGTGCATAACTTTCAGAGTGAACTAGGGATCTGTAAGTGAAAAACGGACTGTATACATAAGACATTGTGTGTATACAATATGCTCTCTCTGTATATGGTATGCTCTGTGTTTTACAACTAGCTTGCATTATGTTTAGTTTTAAG